ACCAGTGTTAAACTGGGACTTCACACGGACCTTCCGCAGTACAACTACACTCCAGGGGTACGTCTCTTTTTTTTACCTTTTGACAGTTTTTGGTAACGGCAAAGGATATAAACATTTCTTCCAGTATCACGTTGCTTTTACAAGAAACATGACCAATCCCAATGTATGCATTCTTAACGGAATGATTTCATTTTTTTAAAGAGCTTCAAAACCTGTTAAAATGTGTAACATCTTTCTTTCTAGATAACCGCCAATGTTTGCAGGCTTTTAATGACAGGCAATACAAGCCTTTACCGTTTTTACCTTTACCAAGAAGATAATGTTTTCAGCACTTTATTTTGCTTAAATATATATGTTTTAGCAATATAAACCTCATAATCTATGGATGGATTCTCTTGAAATTTTGTATGAGGTTAGTTCTTGTTATATCAAAGAAATGACTAGATTTCGTCCCTACTTGTGCCTTTCTTTGGTACTGCAGAAGCCCTTCTGTTTTTTCTATATGGTATTCTGAACATGGTGTTTTCTTTATTTAATAACAAGGGTTTGCTATCTGTAGGTTCAAATGCTCCACTGCATCGAGCAATGTAAGGGGGAGGGGGGCGACAACCACCTTGTGGACGGCTTCAATGTCGCTTACCAACTGAAGCAAGAGAACCCAGAGGCCTTCAGACTTCTCACTACGCTCAAGGTCAACTTCCAGGACGAAGGCATGGACTACCACAGGTTCTTTCTCAGAGAAAAACACACCATAATCAGGTAAAATGGCTTCCAATATGGCACATGTTTTATGAGCTGGAGGCAGACAATACTAGCACATGCGACAGCTACGTACTTTTGCAAATGGCTCTTTAGCCCAGTTGATACCAAATTAAGGTTCTATCTTAGGAAAAGACGTATTATAATCATGTAAATGGCTACTTATATACCAGTTATGTTTTTTGAAAACACAGCAGACGATAAACAGTTCTTGTGAAAAAGTCTTGCTAAACACCAAGTTGGCGACTGATACTCATATTTTGGCGACGCCGTAGGGGCGAAGTCGTTAGTGCCTTAAAAAAATTTTCACCGCCTTGTTTAACAGCATTGCTGCAGGTGGGAAGCCATTAGTGTCATATAGAACTCCCATCTAGATGATAGTTACTGTTCCTAAACCTTAGTTGGTTAATGACTTTCTGTTGACATTTATCCAGCCTAGACGACCAGGGTAATGTTCAGGCCATCAATTATAACGACCAGATTCGTGACTCCATCTTGGATCTTCCTGCGGACCAGGTCCAGTCTCTCTATGACGCGCTGAAGGCCTACAACACCATCCTGTACCTGCCCAAGAACTGTGTACGGCACAAAATGGCAGCAGGTCAGGAAATAAATTTCTTTAACTGTATTTTATTTTGTTAAACCAAACAAACACACACAGACACACACACACACACTGACGCACACATGGCATGCACACATACACAGAGGAAGGACCGCACATAACAATTATTCTCTGCATTCTCAGACCAGGGTAAACCAAGAACTAGTCTGGGAGATTACCGATTTCTTGTTTTTAGATTAGATTATCTCTAATGACCAATCATGTGTCTTTAATATGCTCCTTTCATGTCCCACTCAGTGTACGTTGGAAAATTCATATTTGAATCTCTACAAAAGCGACACCATATTGTAAATAGCTGATATATCCCCTGAATTACAGAATGTTATTATACTCTTCCTAAGAAAACACAATAGACTACCTCGTTAGAATCATATTTTAGTATTAGTTTTGTGTATGTACCATTTTTGTTTCTTTGCCATACATTGTACCAGCTACAGTTGTTGAGCAATAAAGTTGATTGATTAATTTATTGATTGATCGATTGATCGATCGATTGATTGATTGATTGATTGATTGATTGTGTTGTCTGTTTAGGTGAGATGATCGCCTTCAACAACACCCGCACCCTTCACGGCCGCCTCGCCTTCAGCCAGACCGGCGGCTCCCGCCATCTCCAGGGCGGCTACCTGGACTGGGACGAGATCTACTCGCGCATGCGTGTTCTCAAGACGGACCTGGGCATCCAAGACTAACACCTTCCCAACAGCCTTTGCGGCATGAACCTAGCTTGTAATTGCACGTCGGCAGAACGCACTGCACCTGCGCGAAACCCGTAATGTATTGTGCATAACACTTCGACAGAACGTCTGATATAAGATCGTACTAGCGCATATAAGGTTAACATCCCGTCTGTAGTTGCCAAATGTTATGTAGGAAAAGATACCCTTTGCAACAGCCAAAATTCTGATGCAACGTTTACCAAAAATCCACAGAAAATCGTGAAAATACAGGGTTCTGCGCAGGCGCAGTACGTTCTGCCGACGTGCTGCTTGTAATATTGCACGTAGGCAGAACGATCTACGCATGCGTGAAACCCGTGTTTTTTTCATTAATTGCTTTCGTTAATTGGATATTTTGGGTCAATGTTGCAGATAGAATTTTGCCCGTTGAAGAATACATTTTTCCGCCACAACATTTGAAAACTCGAAAGACTGTCATCCTTACATACGCGAATACGTTTGCCGATATGCTACATGTATGCACAATTGTTAATACATTACGGGTTTCACGCAGGCGCAGTGCGTTCTGATATCGTGCTGCATGTAGTAATTTTGTCCATGCCAATCACAATTAAGAGTTAAATCAATAAGAGAAAGGCAACTATCAGTGTAACCAATGAGAGATCGGCATTTTAATTCTGCATTTCTACTTTATGATAGAGATTGGGCAGGGCTAAGACATCGGTCCAGGTCTATTTTTTTAAAGATACTCCTTTCGAAAACCTCATATTTGGCTCAATCGTTTTTAGACAAACTTCTCGGAATATTTTGCTGAATATTGATATGTTTACTGAAAAATCGACAGCACGCTACTTTTCCATCATGTGTATGAAATATGATTGGCTTCGGTAGGAAACCACGAAGTCCATTAAACCACATGATTTATCATATCATTAAAAGAAATGATAGTGCAATACAGAATTCATATAATAACGATGTTAAGACGACACGGACGTAAAATGTTTTATATTAAAACAGTGGTTTTCAGTAATATTTTCCATTGATTATGATGGATATTGTAATTACTATTGCATATGTATCGTAACTACTTTTGTATGAATTCAAAGAAAGTTTAAACGTTGTTTCTCATGTGTGATTTTTGCAAAGTCATATAAATCTACAAATTAAAGAAAAATCTCTTTCCTCTGTTTCCTAATTCTGTGTTCTTTTTCAGTCTTTGTGTCATTGTTTCAACTTACTGCATTACAAATAACAAAAAATTGACTTCGAAAATCCAACTTCACTGCCTTTTAAAAAACACATCCTGCTTTTGTTTGGTTAACAGTTAGAGACCTGCGTGTGTTCGTGAACGTGGCGGCAAAGATCGCAAATAGCGCCACCTTGCAATAGTTAGCTGACTTGCAGGGTTATATGGTTTGCCTCCGCTCCAAGGACGCTCGATTCAGCTAATCTCCAAGCAGATCCCTTTCGGTGGCAAAAAGACAGTATCAAATTGGCCAGGCAGTATCCATTAGCCAGAGAAGGTCCGCAGCCACCGACGGGTGGTTGGTGGGGATCAGGACAAAAAAAACCCGGCCATATATAAAAAGGTAACGATCATTCCCCACAACCTCTGCTTGGAGAGTACGATTCAGCCTGCAGGTCGAAATGAGACGTGAAACGCACTAAAAGGGTCACCGACCTTTAGTCTTACTCTGGACACGCCGCGTGCACGTGATAGGTGTGTTATGTAATATACCCTCTGTCTTACGTCATTGTACGTGTGGTGAGTCCATGCTGCATTTCCTCTCATGTCAAAGGTCGTCTGTATGGGCGACTCCCATTGGTTGAAACACGTCACTGAAAACGATGTGCCCGCCAATGACGTCAAAGGATGCGGTAGACAAGTTCGTCGTTCTGGGAATGAAAATGCTGCAAAAATGATGATTAAATACTATAATACGTCTAAAAAGGTTATGGTTTTCAAAATTTTGAATTATCACATGTTGAGATTTATTAAATGTGTAAAGGTCATACCTAATGGTTATCCAATCGCAGCGTCCGATACTAGATTGAAACAAAATCGACCCCCTCAGAGATGCTCACTTTGGTCCGCCATGTTGTTTTAAGTCACCATTACGCCCTCAGCACAAAAAGACTCGGCTTGGATTCCGCTTCCCTTTTACGGAACAGTTTCAATGTCTCACCGACAGTGACTATACCGGAATCTTTTGTTACAAGGCAAACGTTTCCAACAAGGCACTAGTGGCTGAGCATTGTATCATTTTGAGCGAGAGATATCCACCTAAAAGCCTTAGCAACCAAGCACACAACCTCAATTTCTTCACCGGTAAGAAAGCTAACCCTCCCCGTTGGTGAAAAAGTCAAAAGCCCCTTGTTTCCTGTACTTTTTTGACCGAATGAACCGTTACGATACTAAGCGTAGTGCCGTCACTAAAGGCAATTTATCTTTCCCTTTTCATTTTCATAGCGTAACGAAAAAGGACCATGTAAACAATCTAGTGTGACCAAACAGGGTTATATTACCGCTAGCAACCACTTTACAGCGAGACCTCTTTATAATATCTGCCTTGTATAAGGGAGAAAGAAGACACTTCTTGACTACGCAGTTGAAAATTCGTTAAGGACAAAACGCCATTTGGAGTAAACTATGACTTCCAACAGACGTAGAGCGACTTCTCCAAGCGCGGACGAAAATAGCAACCAACTGAGAATTGTTATATCGTTGTTGTAACCCGCTGTGCCCTACAGTAAACAAAGTAAGTATACATGTACATATCCTCTGAACTTTTCCTAACATGTAGGGGGAGGGGTGTAGTCATCGCTAGACTTAGTAACTATGTCATAAAAGTTTTCCTGATTTGTGGAACAATTAAGACTGTTATCCTACCAACAGCTGGTCAGATGAAGACGGAGTCATTAATTTGATAGTTATGGTAAGTCAAACAAGTAAAAATAATTGTTGAGTTGGAGAAGATAGAGTTTGATTCTAACACAACGTACTGGAGTTGTTAGATACAAATATGACTAAAATTGTGGTATGTAAACTGACACAAACTTTCATTTTTTAATAGACTGATATTCTATCTACTTTTCTGCTGCTGCACCATTGATTAAAATGTTACAGTTGTGAAAGGTTTATAGTATTTCGTCCCGTTTGGCATTTTTCCAATTTGGCATTTTCTTCTGTCCCAAGTGGAATTTTCTTCTGTCCCATTCGGCATTTTTTCTGTCCATTTGACATTTTTCTAACTGGCATTTTTCTACTACATTTCCAACTACAATGCTTTGTAGTTTGTACCGTGGGTCCGCAATGTACTTACATTTCTCATCATTGTCCCATTTGGCATTTTTTTTCTGTCCCGATTGACATATTTCTCTGTCTCATTTGGCATTTTTAATACTGATACATTCTTTGTAGTAAATGTGTTTGACAATGCCGTTCCGACAGCTTGTAAACTTTTCTATCATGAATTGGAGTGACATGTTTTGATGAACATAACTGCTCTTGACCGTGTGTTTAAGAAACATCAAATATATTTACTATACTTATAACAAACCACCCAGAAACAAGGCTCAAATATTTCTTCGTGTACATAGCTGTATGAAAATTGTGACAAAAAAGCTTATCTATTTTGCTAAAATTAATATGTATGACCGGTTTTGGGGTTTAAAACTGGGAACTGATGTTTTCTATAAACAACATAGTTTATAGTTCTATCGCGTCCTTTTTGTTGACAAAACTTGACCACACATAAACTCAACACAAAAAGGTAGGAAACCCGTTTTAAGCAATAATATCTCCGAGAATACTTTATTAGCTTTACTGTATTACATATGATTTGAAAGACTGTTTCTTGCTCTTAACACTGGTGTTCTGTTTGTTATGATCGTGTTTTAATGAGTTGAGCACCCAGGCCACTTATATATGAGAAGATCACGAAAGAATAAGTCCCGAGCTCTCTTTTCACCAAATGCCAGTTGTTTTTTTAAAGATCGAATCATGCATTACACCATTGAAAACGCTTGTATTTTCTTCAAAATTATATCTCATTTGTGGTGATCATGCTTTTGCGCACAGCACCATAGTAAGTGCCGGGATTCCCCTGTGAACTTAAGTCACTATTCTAGCACTTTGTTGTCAGGCAAACTTTAGTACTTTTGTTCTGTAACTCACTCTCGCAGTCAGTTCTAGTATTTAGCATTTAAATGTAGAATTATGGCAAATCCAGTATCATTAATAAGTGAAATTTCCGATGCCACCATATATTATAAAATTATTAAAAGTAAGGAGAAGGTAAACGGACAAACGATGAATCAAATTTATCATTCCGAACTTTTTGTTTGAGTGAAGAAACGGGGGCACATACTAGAAACTTTAATATAACTTTAGTCACTGGTACAAATTGAATCCCCGAATATCTTTTTGATACGTAACGTATTTTTCGGTGCCTGTGTATCGATATCGAGATCACGTTTTTTTGAATGATTTCATTCTTCTTCTCCCTCAGACCTATAACCACGGAGTCATGACAGGCACAGCGAGCCGGGGACGGGGGAACTGGCTGACGTCACTGCGGGTTCAGAAGGCCTACAGACTGAACAACAATGAGAACGCGCGATTAAATAACAGGTACGAAACTAACGTCACAAACTTGTTATCTGTTGTATACTTAACCTTCTGGCATGTGCCATTTGATCAGAAAATCGTGCAAGTTACAAATAAGCGCCCCCCTCCCCCAAATAAAAACGCCGACCGCACCCCTAACGTCTGCAAGGAAGCTATTGTATGCTGTGGTAAGTATGGGAGAGTAACTGCGTTTCTGTAAACAGTTTCATTTTTGTCATTCTTTTCCATTTTGATCATGAGGGAGATGGTCTAATGCATAACTATACCTCTTTTTGTGTTTTCCAAGGCTTTGTGCCTGTGTGTGGAAAAGGGCGCATTATTATATTAACCTTAACCTAGTAACATTGACATCTTTTCTTAGGATCTTCAGGACTTGTTAAAACATTCCCCATATCAAATCAATCTAAAACGGCGCTACATGTAATGTAGCAGGGAAGCTTTGAATATATTATGTATATATTATTGTCGTGGCGTCTTTTAACAATGACAATGACAATGACAATGATCTTTATTGCATGTTCTTGCCCATAGGGCTAAATGCATTACAAAGATATATGTATATATGTATCTATATCTAATAGGTACTACATTCTACAACAATACTATCAAGACTGTTATCTAATACCCATTATTCTATCTATCCTACCCAGTCCGCAGAGATTCATCTCGCTTTTTGAAACATGTGTATATGAAGTGGCAGAGTTCTTCTATAATGAGTTGATTGTTACATGACATTAAGTAGTTAAATATGGCATCTATCGCTTTATTTCTACACCATAAGTTAATATGTATTTTGTTGAAAAACAGTGCACGCTCCTCATCATATAGGCTACATTCTACTAAGAAGTGCATTTCATCTTCGATGCGTTGTTTATTACATACTGTGCACTGTCTTTCGTTTACGGGAGTCTGGTTGTACCTACCTTTTTTAACAAGAAGACCTGATAAATCTGATTTCTGTGTTTTTACCAGATACGGTGCGCTAGAAAAGGAACACATCTATGCCCTGCGCGGTGTGAACCAAGAAATACGTCTACTGCGCATCATCCTAAACAAAATACAGGTCAGTCTTAGTTGTGTATGTGCACAAAGGTACCAGTACACTATTGTTTTTTTTTTTCGGGTACAGGTCCTACAAAGCTTGGCATCAGCTTCCATGTATCCGTAATCCGTAAACCTACTAATAGTCTGGTGGCAGAGACCGATAAGCGTGCAATGCGGTCCATACAAAGTTTTTTTGTTGTTTCTATATCTCTGAGGTGTGCTCTTTCAGAATCTGAATGATGCCACTCTGTCATCCTTGGGCAATTCGCACAATATGCAAATTAAGGTGGCCATTACTGAAAATCCAGTTTTCGTCAATATCTCAGTAACTACTCATGGTATCAGAATAATTTTGGTGTCTATCCCCATCTTTTGAGGGATAACGAATTAAATCAAGCCATTTCAGTAAAGATAGAACCACTATTTTTTGCTAAATATGCAAATTTGGGCCGCGCAATATGCAAATTAGGGCGGCCATTACTGAAAATCTGTTTTTCGTCAATATCTCAGTAACTACTCATGGTATCAGAATAATTTTGGTGTCTATCCCCATGTTTTGAGGGATAACGAATGGAATTAAGCCATTTCAGTAAAGATCAAACCAGTTTTTTTGTGCTGAATATGCAAATTAAAGCCGCACAATAGGCAAATCAAGGAAAATCTGTTTTCCGTCAATATCTCAATAACTACATATGATATTATAATATCTTTGGTGTCTTTCCCCATGTTTTTTGGAATAACTATTGAGGATAGGACATTTCAGTGGAGATCAAATAGATATTTTTGTGCTTAATTTGCAAATTTAGGCCGCCATGACTGAAAATCTGTTTTTCGTCAATAAATCTCATGGTATCAACAATAATTTTGATACAATACACATACATTTGTACTATACACATGTTTTGAAGGCTAGATATTTAGAATAAACCATCCCAGTATTGATCACACCAAAATTTAATGCAAATTATGCAAAAACTAACCAGTATATAGCATGGGCGCCTGTACCTCTGAACACTGATAGGAATGTTAATAAATGATACAATCTGTTCAAAAAATATTAGACCCTTCATAAGCCCACACCTGTGCCTTACCAGCGTCTGTGTACAGGCAGAATAAAGCGCTAACTTGACGTCCTGAATTTTATGTCAGCGTGACCCGTGTAGAATTTAAGTCAAAGTTGAATTCTTCTTGATTCCCGGACAGGCCAAAAAAATAGCCCGGTAGCCGCGGGGTGTCCCACGCCTGAAAGTGTCAAAAACAGCCAGGGAACTACCCGCCAGGGACTTTTTTTTTTACAATTGGGACCAAAGCTTAACAGATCTCCAAAAAAGATTACCGGCGGCCGCTCAAAAAGTGCACAGTCCTAATTAAGGCGAAGGATGGGACCCTACCACTGTCTTAGGGGGAGGACAAGCTTGTCAGGTAGGCAGAATACTTTTCAAAAAGTCTTAAACCGCTCAAGCCATACCTCAGTAGCATAAGTCTTTGATGAACACCTACACCCATTACCTGTTGAGATCGAGGACATCTCTGAAGCTGAAGTCAGTCACCAGGCATGAATTGCATCACTTCAGAGATGCTGAAAGCCGAGGGTGACTGTGTTGTGAGATGGATGCTTTTCTGATCGCCGTACATCGCAAACGCTTTAATAGAACCATAACCATCTTCCCTAGTACGCCTTCCCTGGAATAAAGCTGGCATTCAACGGCGATCACAGAGAAGTGCTGGAGGACTGGAATAACGGATCAGTAGTTCAGCTGGAGTCACATGTGAAACGGGTCCTGCTCGGCATGTTCTCGGTGTAGACGCCGGCCGGCGTCATGAAGCCGAGCGTGCGCCGGCTGTCAGGGTCACAATTGAATTTTCCTTTACGGCTCCCTGTCGAGGCGCTGAGGCGGCTTCTATGAAAAATTCACAAAATTTTGGTCCCCTTGACGACCGGTTTCTGTTAGGGACCCGTCC